TGTTTGTTTTTTTTCAAACTCATATCCTTTTTCTTTTCCTCCAACCCCTTGCTTTTTGTGAGACCCATTTTTGTCAACTGTGCTGCCATCCACAGTGGTACCCCAGATTTTCTCTATAGGGCGGGTTATAGTTAGCAGTATATTTGCAAGCAAGAGCTAGGTGATGCATCCAAAGATGCATCTCCATAGCAAGCACATGGCATTGACTTAGACCACATGTTTCTTTGGGGCAGCTAAAGCATCTACCTTAGTTAGCCAACATCTGGATTTTTTAAGAAGGTAACTCTTCCTACACTCCATGCACATATATATATAAATACACATGGTAGCTATTAACTAACTGGCATAATTCAGTGGAATGATTCCTTAATTTGAATGTCTTAAATCCTAGAGACAGGGTATACTGTTTATTTTTATATTGTTTTTTGTATTAGATGCACATCCAAATAACTAATCCATGAAAGGACCTGGTGAGGCTCTTCCAGGGCTACCTACAATGTACCTTTTTAAAAGGGAAGGAGGAATTAATTCTTATCTGGGGAAACCTAAGGCCCCTTTGAGACAGCTGCTAATGGATCGCCCACGGTGTGAATGCAGAACTAGAAGCAGGCAGGGCTGAAATAAAAAACTGGTAAATATTTGCACAGAGGTGAGAGTTGAAACTACGCTATGAAATGGTATGTGGCCCCTCTCCAAGGTAATGATTATATCCTCCAAGTCATGAAAATAACCAGATTCAGATCTTGAGAAGGCTACAAAGCACAAAGTGGAAATATAAGTTTTAACTCTTCCTTAAACCAAAGCAAAAAAAAAAAAAGTTTATCAGTGAAAATGGAATGGAGTAGCAACATCAAAAGAAAAATTGGCCGTAAAAAATGAAGCAATTTTGGGACTTCAAACCCACGCTTTTTAATGTGGGAGTGGAGTGTGGGGAAAGAAGACGAGCTGGAATGTTTAGGAATGCAAGGAACTATTACCGTTTCATCAAATCTACTTATCTAGTAAATTTCACTCCTAAACCTAATCTAAGGTATTCATGCTAATATTCTTAAGTTTATACAGTAGCATGTTTCTGGTTATGTTTTCTTAATGCAAAAATGAAGCAATTTCCTTCTTAGGATTTATGTCTTAATTAATGGCAAAGATTTCAGTTAAGATGCAGGTAGAAATGAGACGCTTAATCTGTACTTCCAAAGAAGTAAGCCTTTCTCTTGGAGAATGAATGGCACAGTGTTGAACTCTGGTAAACTCTAAGATGTGCATAGCTCAGGGCTCCCCTGTGTGGAAATGAAACAGAGTATCTACACTTCAGGATCTAAAATTTACATCTCCTGTGGCTCTTTACTTTCAACCTTCTATATACTTTAAAATGAAATGTAACTGAGTAAAAAGAACAGGGAACTAAAAATTAAATTTTCCATGCTAGTACCTGTTAACACTTTTTCCCATATGGAAAGTCATTCAACTTCTCTCACTTCAGGGTTCCCACCTCTATAAATTTCCTGCCATACATAACTCACCCACTGGCTATAAAGATTGTTTTTTAAGGGAGGGCAGAGCAAAGGTGTGATCCTTTAAGTGTAGAAGTCTTACACTTCAAAATAGAGTCATTAAGGTATTGATCCAGGTAAAGGTGAAGTGAGCATCTTAAGTTGAAAACAATCAAAACCTTCTACTGAAGAGAAAAGAAAGTCTAGAAAACTGTTCGACTGAAAATTGTTCAGTCAATGTGAGCACATGAAAAATGCACACGCATTCTAGTGTACAGACCCCAAAATGGAACTTCTGACTAAAAGTGACAAGCAAAAAGAGATGCTTTAGATCATTCTGTAGAGCAGAAGAGGACAGACCACTTTCAGCCACCATTACTCTCCTTGTTCCTAGATTTTTGTTGTTTTAACTGATGGGGTCAAAGTGTTATTTGGTACTATTAGGAAGTTTGTTTTTATTGAAGAAGTTTTACAGGTGGGAAGGTCAACTGAAGTACCAAGAACTTAGCCTGACAGCTTATATAAGACAGCTTATATAAGAAATCCCAAACAATTGTTTGTTTAACTGTTGTTTTTAGAAACAGTAACTTTTACACTTGGACAGATCTCAAAAAATCACATGAATACACGGTTGTCTAATATTACCTGATTCTGCTTCTTTTGGCCTAAAACTCAGGGCATGGAAACCGTCTTTATTACAGAGAGACTTTCTTTATAATGGTTATTCATTTTTAGTGATTTTTGCCAAGAATATTTGGATGGATGCTGCAACTGGTATGAAATAAGGGGGAATCCTGGTCCCCAGTCCTTCCTCTTCCCTAAGCTAGCTAACCTGACCTAGGGTGAGTCACCTGACCTGAGGTCTCCGTATCTTCAGCTGTAAAAGAAGCATGTTAGCTTAAAATAAAGTTCCCTCAGCTCTTAACAGTCTCCTCTTTTATAATTAAACAAACGAACTCTCCTAGATTAATGGCATAAGGACTAGTGAAAGTGGGAAACAATATTTCTAAGATACAATAATTCCCAAAACTTCAAGAAGCAGAGTCTGAGGGAACAAATCAGATTACAGAATCCATCTCACACAGGCCACTGTGGGGAAGCCCTAGGGAAATGATTCACCAATCAACAGCTCTCCTTCCCACTGAGCAGACCAGGAATATAAGAGAAAAGGAATTTTACCAAACCTAGTCTCTGCAGGTCTCAACTTAAAGATCACACATCACCTGTGATTTCACCTTAACACTGAGCGAATCAGAGACCTAACCCTAGAAGCTATAAAGTCTGCAAGTGAAGCTAGTGAAATCTACATTCCAGATCACCACAAAGATGCTCTCTAACATTCTTACTACCTGGCTAGCTGCAGGGACAGGGAACTCATTGGACAGTACCTAAATACCAACCTTCACAAGTTTCCCCAAAGCTCACAGAGAAACTATGTCAAACGAGAAACTGGTATCTTCAGCAGGGTAACCCCAAACAGCTTTACTCTCACAGTTACCCACCCTCCACATTTTGTACTAAGTTGAACATAGAAGAACATAAAATAAACCAAAAAGTTTGAATCCCCACTACCTTTGTCCAAAAAATTCCTTTTAAATGTTCTCTGAAGCTACCTCTAAATGGACGTATTGAGGGTAGAGGGTAGAAGGAACCACTGTTTTCCTGAGAGATCATTTCATTCAATTCCATCATGTTTGAACAAAAAGGTTCAAATAACTTCAAATATCCTCCTGACAGCTTCCTAGCATAAAGATTGTGTGTGCTCACTTCGGTTCTTATCTGTCCTTGCATGTGTAAAACCTGTCAATAAGCGTGAAAACTGCTAAACAAGGTCAAACAGACAATGAACTGAAGAAATTCAATTAATGTTAATGAAAAGTGGGACATGATTGTCTAAGGGTGGGAGGAGGGGGTCGGGGGGGCATGAAAGGCTAACGGTATTTCCAGTCGTTTCCACCAATGCCCATCCACACATGACAAGGATCCCACAATTCAGAGATCTGGGTGTGATTTTTAGCCCACCTACATTTCCTTGCCAAAATACACACTACACATGGTCTAACACAGCCTGGATCTGTGAGACTGCTAAAGGTAGCAATTGAGTCCCGGCAGCACACGGAAGCAGTTGAGTGCAACGTGTCAGTCGGTTTGAGAGTTTGTGGAGCGGCAGGAACTGCAGCAAATCATCACCCTCCAACATGTGGGCCAACAAATCTGAGTTGGAAGAGGAATGGGTGTCCCTTTTTCTTCCCCCACTCCTTTTTTTTTTTTAACGTGGGGGAGGGGAGTGTCGGAAACAGACAGGGTAATGGTGTCCACTCCAAGATAGATAAGGAACTCCTGGCAACCTAGCGTCCCTTGGGATAGGATGCTACTTTGAAGGCAAATAAGTTTCATTCTCGGTAACCTCACTCCTTGACACTAAGGAAACTCATTGATTGTTCGCGGAAAAGGCAACCTGCGTTCAAAGTCCCTCGCCCCATTCCTAATTATAAATCCTCTCTGGGGCTGGCAAATTAAAAAACCAGCAAGAGGGCCAAAAGACACCTTGGACTGGTCGGTGCCCCTAAGAGAGGCAGACACTCCCCAATTCCGGTCTCCTCTCCTTCCCAAGACTCGCAAATTAGTTCTGAAGTGGGAATCGCAGTGGAGCATACGCAGAGGTGCAGCACTTACCCCCATTCACCCCTATGGACGGTTCCAGCTTTGCTCCGGCGATCGCCAATACTATTCCAATCATGAACCATTCTTTCCTCATTCTCTCCAGTAGCCTCATGTTTGTTAGGGTGGGTGGGTTTTGTTTATTTGTTTGGCTTTTTTTCTTTTTAAGCTGCTATCGCTTAATCCCCGGGGCGTCTCCACACTTTCCACGGTCCCACCTGACATGCAGCAGAGCAAGTCAAATTGCTACTTGTAAATTAAAGACCGGGGGGTTGCTCCTGCTGCTTTGAGGAGGGCTGCGAGTAGTAGTATCCAGTGACAGGAGAGTCTCACTGAGCGCCGCCATCACTACCGTGCGCCTACTAATAGACGCGCAAAAGCCACCGCGACTCCGGCTGCGCCTCCCAGCCCTCTGAAGCGGACGTTTGGGCCAGGCCGACAGGCGCAAGCGATCGAGGAAGGGAAGCTGGCCGCCGAGTAGGGCTGACAGACTCGCCACCGTCAAGACCTGTGGAACCTTAGGAATAACAGGGGCGGGGAGTGGCGTGAGGCGCCACAGCCTCCTAGCTCTATCAAGGGTCCGGCTCCAACAAACCTTTAGACACAGCCCCCCGCGCCCCTGGAATACATCCATGGAGAGACTCTTTTTGGCTTCGCCTTGAGCCTGCGGTAAAGGCTAGCGTGCGCTTGGGGCAGGGATTTCTCTGTCGGCAGCTGCGGCGGCGGGGTACAGGTTTTTTTTGGTGGCGAGCTTCTTCGAAGCATTACGACGCTTCCTCGACGCCGGCGTTGACGTGTACGCAGCGGGGGAGGGGAGGCCGCTCTCGGTCTCCTAGTCCCGGCCGGAGCCTCTGGAGTTAGCCATGCTCATACCCCGGCGCGGGAAAGCGACACCCCAGTGCGGGTAGCTTTAGCCCCGGAAATGGGTTGAGAATTGAACACCGAGCCGACGCCCACATACGTAGCAGCGTTGCAGCCCGGGAGGGTGGGCGGTACCCCGAGGTCGGTCATCCGCGGGTGGGCGCCGGGCCCCGACCCCGTTCGCCATCACCAGACCCAGAGAGGGGACTGCAGAGGTTCAGCCCCCTACCGGGAAGCGGGGACCACATCTTCCTTTGGGGATGGTGGGTGAGTGCTTGAGCTCCCTCCCTACCTCCCAACGAAGCTGACGGGGGCGGGGGTGGGGGGGCGGAGGGCGAAGTGGGAGTCTGAGCTGGCTAGCCTGAAGCGTGCACGGTTTCGCTTGACCCCCAGAACTTGCCCCACCCAAGCAGCAGGGCAACTGTGGGAAGGAGATCAGGATACCCAAGGCAAAAGTGGTGAGGGACCAGGAAGAGGCAGGACTCCTGCCTTCCATTGCCCCACGTGCTAGATCCTATCCGTCCCCATTTCTCCCTTGAAGTGTTTTCTGCCAGCCAGTGACATTGATAGTTTCCTGAATGGACTTCCTACCCACAGACCCTGCAGGAACATCAACTCTTTCCATTTTGCACCCAAATAAATAAATCAGGCAAATGCTGTGTTACAGTTTACTAAGAACTCAGATCTATTTACAGCAGAATCAAACTCATGGAAATGATTTTTGTTTTGGTGGTTACTTAAAGGGAAAGAATACAGTGCACTGTGAATTCTGTATTAGTTTCCTGCGGATACTGTAACAGATACCTAAAACTGGAGGCCTTTAGAATAATGGAAATTTAGTCTCTCATAGTTCTGGAAGCCAGAAATCCACAATCAACGTGTTGGCAAGGCCACACTAACCCTGGAGGCTCTAAGGAGAGAATCCTTCCTTGTCTCTTACAGCTTCTGGTGGTTGTTGGCATAACTTGGCTTCCTTGGCTTATGGCCACGTCACTCCAGACTTTGCATCTGTCTTCACATTGCCCCCTGCTCTTCTGTGTGTCTCCTATAAAAACATTTGTCATCAGATTTAGGACCCAACCCGATAATCCAGAATGATCTCATTTTAAGATCCTTAACTATATCTGCAAATATCCTTTTACCAAATTAGGTAACTGTGCTTTGTTGAATGGTGTCCCCCAAATGTTCATGTCAATCCAGAACCTCAGAATGTGACCTTATTTGGAAATGGAGTCTTGCCCATGTAATTGGTTAAGACGAGCTCATACTGTGTTAAGATGGGTTTAAATCCAATGACTCATGTTCTTATAAGAAGGTCATGTGAAGACACACAAAAGAGACATGAAGAAGAGATCATGTGAAGATGGAAGCAGAGATTGGAGTGATGTGTCTGCAAGCCAAGGAATGCCAAGGGTTCCACTTTGGAACCAACCACCAGAAGCTGCAAAGTTGCGGGAGTGGGGCAACCGGAAGCTGTGGTAAAGGATTTAGATTTTATTAAACACTGTAGGAAGCCACTAAAGGAATTAAAACTAGCTAGTGAAGTCTGTCCAGTTTTGCTGGAGAGATTACTTTAGAGGCGGTCTCTGAACAAATAGTTCAGAAAGAAGTGACTAAGTCAGTGGAGCCGGAAAAGGTAATTAGTATAAGAACTGTTAAGCAGGAAAAATGAAAAATAAATGACCACGGCTTCCCTGGTGATGCAGTGGTTGAGAGTCTGCCTGCCGTCCAGGGGATGCGGGTTCCTGCCCCGGTCCGGGAAGATCCCGCATGCCACGGAGCTGCTGGGCCCGTGAGCCATGGCCACTGAGCCTGCGCGTCCGGAGCCTGTGCTACGCAACGGGAGAGGCCACAACGGTGAGAGGCCCGCGTACCGCAAAATAAATAAATAAATAAACAAACAAATAAATAACCAGTTGCCTATAGGGGAGTGGTGACAACGGTGAGAGGCCCGCGTACCACAAAATAAATAAGTAAATAAATAAATAACCAGTTACCTATAGGGGAGTGGCGAAACAGTCTAAAATGACTCCCAGAGTATGTCTGTCAGACAGATGTTCGTGCCAGTCACTCAGCCAGGGAAACTTTATATAGTAGATTTGGGAGGAGATTATAAATTCAGTTTAGATCTTGTGTTCAAGGCCATTGAGCATACAAATAGAGATGTCCAGAGGGGGTAGAATGGATGTTTGAGTTCATGAGTACAGAGTTACTGTAGGTCTGGGATTCTTCAACAATAGATTATGGAAATCATAGGCATTAATGTAGCAAATATATACTTTTATACTTTGTCACATTGGTTACTCAATCTCTGAATATAGTTCACTTATAATATTTATGAATGTTTACTATGTGCCAAGAATAGGAGTACACCTTGTGATTGAACCTGTCCCATCAGGCTATTGAAAAGATTCAGTGGGATGTACGTTGTATGTACGTTGCTTTGCATGGAAAAAATGCTCAGTTATGCATTTATTCCACAAATACTTATTGAGCTCCTACTTTGTGCTAGGCGTTATTCTGTAAATACTGGGGTTACAAGGAAAAGTGAGAGACAAGGTTTCAGCTTTCCTTGTGTGTTCCAATGATGACATAAAAAAGAAAATTAACAAGTAGTGATAACTGCCACAATGAAAATAAAACAGGTCGCTTGAGAAAGTAACAAGGAGGCTTCTTTGAGTGGTCAGAGAAGGCCTTTCTGAAGGATGCAATTTAAGCAGAGACCCAAATGATGCAGGAACATTCATGATGCTGACATCTGAGAGATAAGCACCTCAGGCAGAGGGAGAACTGGTGAACAACCTTTGTAAATGCCCTAAGGTGGAAATGATCTTGACATGTGTTTTAAGTTTCCTATTGCTGCTGTAACAAATTAACTCAGTGGCTTAAAACAACATAAATTTATTAACTTACAGTTCAGGGGCTCAGAAGTTCAAAATGGCTCTCACTGGGCTAAAAATCAATGGGTCCACAAGTCTGCATTCCTTCCTGGGTTTCTAGAGGAGAATCTTTCCTCTTCCTGCTTCTAGGGGCTCCCTTCATCTTCAAAGTCCACAACTGCCTATCCAGTCTTTCTCATGAAGAATCATTCTGGCACCGCCTCCCTCCTTCACTTACAGAGACCCTTCTGATTCCAACGTGCATACCCAGATAATCCAAGGTGATGTTCCTATTTAGTTTAATCCTTAATTTAATCACAATAACGTAGTCACACATTCTGAGGATTAGCATGTGGTCTTTATTCTACCTACTACATCATGTTAAAGGAAGGAAGGCCAAAGGACTGGAATACAGTGTGCTGGGGTGCCAGAGGAAGCAGGACCAGAGCCTTCAGATCATGTAGGTATTTGTAGACCAGGTAATAAAATTTAGATTTTATTTAAGTGTGGTGGGAAGCTATAGGAAATTTTTAAGCAAGGAAAAATCATTCTTAGGTCACTCTGGCTGTTGTGTGGAGGAGGAATTTTAAAGAAGATGGAAAAGGAGATACGAGGCTTTTAGAGTAGTTCAAAGAAGAGATCCTGCTGGCCTGTGCTGGAGGGGCAGTGGTAATGGGGAAGAGAAAAGACAATCATTTCCAGTTATGTCACAGAGGCAGAGACAGCATTTGCTGTTGGACTGGATTTAGATGAGTTAGGGAAAGGAATCGGATTTATTATTTATTTAGCTAAACCTAAGGTTTAGCTAAATCCACTATTTATTTGGGTGAACGTTGCTATCAATTTACAAAGATGAAAGAGGGAAGAGCAGATCTAGTGAGGAAAATCAAGATTTATTTTGAGATAGCTTTGAGGGGCCTGTTAGAATTTCAGGTGGAGGGAATTCCCTGGCAGTCCAGTTGTTAGGACTCAGCCCTCTCACTGCTGGGGCCCTGGGTTCGATCCCTGGTCAGGAACTAAAATTCTATAAGCCACGTGGCATGGCCAGAAAAAAAAAAAAAAGAAAAGGAAAGAAATTCAGGTGGAGGGAGACCAGGCAGTTGACCAAACAGTTCACAGAGGGAGATCAAAGCTAGAGAGAAAAATTTAGGAGTCATAGGCGTGAGTGGTCTTTAAAGCCATGCGATTGGATAAGATTACCCAAAGAGACAGTGTGAACAGAAAAAAGTTTAAATAAAGGACTCTAAGTCAACTACCACCAACTAGAAATCTCACCCTCTTTCCAGAAATATGGCCCAACTCGACTCAAAGATCTTCAATGACTTCATATATCCCATAGAATAAAAGTTTAATAAAAAGGCACCTGGCAATGCACAGAAACAATTTAGATGGTAGTGTCCGGTTCAATGATCAACCCATGTAATTTATCACTGTTGAATAATTTGTGAAAATTTGTGGTGATATTTTATATTTTTCTTTTGAGAAGTTAAGTCATTTGTATTCTTTTTAATGATTCGAAGTAATTACAAATTAAATGAAAAATCCATAAGGACATAATCTTCAACATGTCATATAATCTTCCAACAAATGAATATTTAAGAGCAACTGTTTTGATCAGAGAATACTTTTACACTAGTGAATATTGTTAGCTCCAAAATGTTACCATGAAGGGAAATGCTGACTTATTTTCCTGTACAGTATTGTAAATATAGCAAAGATAGAGATATATAGTGGCCTCGCCAATTACAGCAGAAAACTACCAATACAGGCATAATTTGAAAATATATCGTAGCTAGCTAGTTAATTTCCAAAATAAATATCTGGTAGTCCGCTTCTCTGAGCATTGCTAAAATGCTTTATGGAGATAGAGTATTATTTTCTTCTTTGCTATTGGCTCTCCCTGGAACAATTCACAGACTAATATTAAACAGTTATGAAAACCAACTCAAATATAGGAGGGCATGCTTTACATTAGACTAGAAGTATAACTACTTCGGTTTTTCCTGCACAGGAATTTAGGCACTTAGCTCCTATTGTATTTGTGTTCATGAGAGTTATGCATGTAGCTTCCCTCAATTTAAATGTGTTTCTGCCCTCTTCACATTGATAGGGAGTGGGTTTGTCAGGTGGAGATGTAATGCTACTTTCTTTAACCCATAGTGGGTGAAGTGTCTCTTTGCAGAAGACCTTCTGCTCCTGTGGTTTGTGGGAACTATCTAATAGTTTCTCAGTCTCTTAAGTGGAAATCTGTCTCAGGAAATTAAGGACAGAGAGGAGAGTCAACAGCCATGGATGATAACCTATGGGGAGGCCCAGTAAATAATGGAGGGAAATGCAGCCCAAAAGAGAGGGATCATTTAAGGCTATTAGATGACAAATCCACTTCAATGCAGTTATTATACCTGTAAATATAGAAAAATGATAATGTTGACAACTCTTCCTCACACAATCTGGGTCATTAATAAATGATGAAGGATAGAAAGAGTAAAAGAAATAAAACTGAGACTTCCCTGGTGGCGCAGTGGTTAAGAATCTGCCTGCCAGTGCAGGGGACATGGCTTCGAGCCCTGGGCCGGGAAGATCCCACATGCCACGGAGCAACTAAGCCTATGTGCCACAACTATTGAGCCTACGCTCTAGGGCCCATGTGCCACAACTACTGAACCCACGTGCCTCGAGCCCATGCTCCGCAACAAAGAGAAGCCACCGCAATGAGAAGCCCATGCACTGCAACGAAGAAGAGCCCCCGCTGGCCTCAACTAGAGAAAGCCCGCACGCAGCGATGAAGACCCAACACAGCCAAGAAATAAATAAATAAATTTATTTATTTAAAAAGAAAGAAAGAGCAGAGATCTAAAAGAAATTCAGAGAGCCTTAAGTCTCTATGACGTGGAGACCTGTGTGTATTACACTAGTTTCATGGAGCTCCCCAAAGCTGCACGTTTCATAGACTTGATTAATATAAAGGCTGTGTATGTAACTAGAATGGGTGCTAGGACCCATTCTTAGTGGCAAAACTCCTGATTCTAGCTGGGCACATGGCCACCAAATAAAGATTACAACTTCCTTTGCAGCTAGTAAATGGGCATGAGACTAAATTCCAGGAATAGAATGTGATTGGAAGTACCTGATTTCTAGGATGATTCTTATAGGAAGGCAACGTTCACTTCTTTATACCCTTCTTGCTGGCTATAACGCAGACGTAAAGGCTAAAATCCCAGCAGCCAGCTTCCACCAAGACTGGCAGAGCAGCAAGACAGGGGGTGCGTCTTGGAGCTGCCATAGTAGCTCTAGACCACCAACTTCCAGATTGTATGTGTGTAAGTGAGAAACAAACTTCTGTTGTGGTCATTACTATTATTGTGAGTTTTCTGTTGCTTATAGCCAAGCCTAATTTTAGTTAATATGCCATACATTTTTGAAAACTTGAAAAGTAAGCAGTGACGTCTTGACCTTTTTTGAGTGATCAAAAAAGTGAATTGCTAACCCTAATGCCTAATTGCTTACTTTTAACTCATACAATCTTTTGAGTTTACACATAGTAGAAACTGAATCATCAGTGATAAATTAATTTTTGGGGGTTTGTTTTGGCTTTATTTTTCTACATAATTTATTGTGAGGTTATCAATGTCAGATAAAATATTGATTTTCATCACCTGCTTCTATTCATCTGTTCTGATCCAGTTCATTTTTCCTTCTGAAACATTGCATGCCACACTTGAGATAATGAAGAATTTCTGAACACCACAGCTAAGAACCTGGACATTCATCTGTAGCTACCTATATGCTCCTTACATGCAGCTGTGGTCCTAGTGGTTTTTTCACAGCTGTCTTTTACGACAGGTCCTTGGAAAACATTTATCCCAATGACCTTCGTGCATCTTCAAAACTCAGGCTTTGTTGTACCTTGAAGGCTCTCCTGCTACCTGGCTGATGGTGCCTCATACACCTTCCTTCCTTGGCAGCTTTGCAGAAAAGCAATAGATTATTAAGTAGGAAACTAAGACTGGAGTTTGCTGTTGTGATTGGCCTACCTGTCTTGGTGGATCCAATTTGTGCATACTATTTGGAGGAAGAAAAAGTTTGACCTAGGGGCCAGAAGCTGTATCTGAAGACACTTTAAAGCCACACTGGCCAGGCATCTATAAATATTATTTTTGAATACACTGCATCTCCTAGCATCATTTGTGAGGCTGGCTCATGATCTCTTAAGTGGCCTGGGTACTGGTATTGAAACTCTTGAACAGTGAGGAGGAAAACAGGTGCCACTACCATTCTCCAAGGAAAGTGTCACTTTTTTCTCCTACTGGAAGGGCTGTGGCAATTGTGTTTCCCTAGAAACAAAGGATTGAATAACTGGACCAATAGCATTTCCTAATTTGTCCAGTTGATCAAAGCTCTTAAATTCACATCTCCAAATTACTAGTCTAGTATGTCCCTTACACCAGCAGTGAGCAAACTAAAGCCCACCCCTTGCATTTTGCTTTGTTTGTTTTTTGTAAATAAAACAAATCCTGAGGTTATAAATAAAGTTTATTGAAACCTGGCCACAGCTCTGCCTGTTTGGTATCCCTATGGCCGTTTTACCTACAGAGTAGAGTTGAGAAGTTGCACAATGATCTTACCCAGCAAAGCCAAAAATATTTATTATCTGGCCTGTTCCAGACGTTTGTCTCCGTAAAAAATATTTGCAGCCCTCTCCCTCCCCAGACAGCACTGCCTTAGATAAGAAAAACTTAAGGTTCTTAAGTTTCCTCTTTGACTTTTAAGTCCCTCCGATGCTAAGATAACTCCCCACCTCTGTCTCCTTCTGGGTGCAACTGACATGATTTGCTAGGGCATGAGTAGAAATTTATTGTCAAGTCTCACTGTCAAGTTTGCCTGCAACACTTCCCGACAATATAAAGACCCGAAGCCAAAGATGGTATCTATACAACTTAGTACTTGCATCTAGAAAGTTATGTCCTTGGGTAGCCAGAGGATGTCATGACATAATTTTTGTTCCTTTCGGGAATGTAGAAAAAAATGCAAGGAAATGAAACCAACAAATGATCAAGGGAAGAAACAGAAAAAGGATGCAGCTGACAATATATGGCTGAGGGAAAGAAGTAAAGATAGGACAATTGAAAAATAGCATAGAAGAAAAGCAGTGCAAGAAGGTGTATTAAGGTAGGCAGAAATAATTCCGATAAGGCAAATAGACTTTCCTGGTCAAGTCATTCATTTCTGGTTGAAAGTTATTCACATGTTTCTTCCATGTGTTGCAGGAAGGGGACCCCTTCCAGGGCCCGAGAGTGAGCTCTTGTCTAACACTTGGAAATGAACTGTCCGAGGAGACACACGTGCTGACAAGCAAGAGACTTTGTTGGGAAGAGGTGCCCGGCTGGAGAGCAGCAGAGTAAGGAAACCCAGGAGGACTGCTCTGCCTCGTGGTTTTCGGTCTCAGGTTTAATGGTAATGGGGTTAGTTTCCAGGTTGTCTCTGCCAAATCACTTTGACTCAGGGTCCTTCCCAGTGGCACACGCATCTCTTAGCCAAGATGGATTCCAGCAAGAAGGATTCTGGGAGGTTGGTAGGAGATATGGACTGGCATCTCCTCTCTCCTTTTGACCTTTCCTGAATTCTTCTGGTTGGTGGTAGCTTGTTAGTTCCATGTTCCTTACCAGGAGCTCCTGTTGTAAGGTAACTCATGCAAGTGGTTACTATCAGCTTGGCCAGGCTGGGTGGTTTCGGTCAGTGGTTCCCCTAACACATGAGTGCTTACCCAAAAAAGATCAACCCTATTTGGATGTGTCACCATTTTCCTGGGATTTTAGAAATTTAAAACTGAAGGTAAAACTGATACCAAGCAGGACCCTGTGGGGCTCCTGGGCACAAAAGCCTTTCTGTGTCCCCCATTTCTTGATTATAGGAAATAGGCTTCATTCAGCCTCAGTGACCTTCCTTGAATTCCAATGAGCAAGTTCAAACAGTTGCTAGTCAAGGAAGGGAGGAGATGCTGAGTCAAGGGAGGAACAGTTAAAAGAAACAATAGCGCAGCCTTGGAGCAGGTCCTGGTTCCCCCTCAAGGATACACATAACAATATCTTTGAGCTGTTTTGCAGATACTGAAACGCCCACCAGGTGGGAGAGGTTAATGGTTAATGAAGGTATACTGTCCACACGCACACAGACCCCAGACCAGCTGGATCCAGAAGGTTGATGATGCTGACTCCCACTTACCGCCAACCACTCAGAAGAATGTCCATGAGCTGACCACACCCTCTTTGAACCATTACTATAAAACTCCTCACTACCCCCTCCAGGTTGGGACACACAGTTTTAAGGGCATTAGCCCGCTGCGGCCCCCACGGCAAAACAACAAATCCATTCTTTTCTGCTTCACCCAAAACTCTGTCTCTGAGATTTAATTTGGTGTCGGGGTACAGAAGCCAGATTTGGCTTCAAAACTAAAACTAAATTTTAAAAGTAAGAACAATTCTAGTCCAACATGCTGATTATACCAACAAGAACCAATTGTACCCCTGCTGAAAATCACAGCATGGTGACAGAGCTGGGACAAGCAATTGGAGCCCTCAGTCACTCTGTGCTTTCTCTCATATACACTACAGTAGGACATATACCCTCCCAGAAAGCTATTTTAATGGTGAAAATTATTAGACAATTCAGTTTGGGGAAAGAAAGTTCAAAACCTTTGGAGATTTAGAGTTGCCTTAAACAATTGGAAGGTAAGCCTTTAGAACTTCCTTTGAAGGATAAAGTCAATTCCTAATGTACCTGTGCTAGCTGCAAAATGAATGTAATGTAACAGTACTTTGATAACCCAAATATATCTTCAGATTAAGAACAGAGAAGGGGAAAGCTCCACTCATATTTTTCCTCTTTCCTCGTGTGGTAAACAAATTAATAAAACAATTTTGAGTATTTTAATTACTGTAACTTTTTGATGTATCTCCCTGAACCGTGTGCCATCTTCCTTTTACCATCTACTTCCAGTAATTAAAATTCCTTATCATTTCTTTATTTCCACATTCATTTTTTTAAAAAAAATTATTTATTATTTATTTATTCAGGCTGTACCGCGTCTTAGTTGCAACATGCAGGATCTTCGTCGCGGCACGCATGCAGGATCTAGTTCCCCGACCAGGGATTGAACCCAGGCCACTGCATTGGGAGCTCAGAGTCTTACCCACTGGACCACCAGGCAAGTCCCTATTTCCACATTCTTAAATGCCTGAGCTTATATTTTCCTTAAAGTGATCTCAATCACTGTACTCCCATAGTCCTTTATGGAACAGTGTTAGAGAGTATGGAGTGTTTTAGAGATAGAAATGAGAATAAAAAGGTAAGCCATGCTACTAGATGTTTAGGAATATTAATTAGATCATAATAATACTTAAATGCTTCTTTGTGGTGGCAATAGCACATCTTCCTTACAAGTTCTCTCCTTTGTCTTACCTTGAGTGGCAGGTAATATTTGTTGCGTCTCCTCTTCAGCTGGGTGCCAGCTGCATTGTCTCAGTGGCTTTCAAAAGGAGACTGATGGACCTAATCCATAAATACTGACTGGAAGCCAGAGTAAGGCAACAGGCTCTGTTTATTGGCCATTAGTCATCAATAAATAATAGCAGTGTTAAACAGTAAACACAGAGCTCTGAGAATATCATTAACATTACTTAGAAAATAAATGTTTCTGTGATATATCAGTGTGTGGCAGTCAAATCCCCCGAGGGCTCTAGGACTGAATTTGTCATCTGCTGTGTTTTAAACTGAAATATCTTTTTAGAAAGCTCTTTCTGGTTCTCTGCTCTGATTGACTTGTAAGAAGACTGGGATTTTCTCAAAGAATAAGATCTTCATTTCCTCTGGTTATGTGTCATGTCTTTATTGGGTTGACTTCATGAAGAGCTGGAAATATCTGACAAATATTTTGGGTCCCTATACTTGAGATATATGTTACAGGAAGCATGCCTAACCCCACTGACTACCTAGCCCAAGAAAGCAAAGTATAAACCTTGGGGCTTTAAGAAATAACTAACCACAAGCAAGATATTGTAAATCTTTTCTTGTATTGCTTTCTAGAAGAACATGGGGGAAAGCAATAAAAAAGTACTTTGTAAATAGTCTGTTTCTCCCCACCCCCTTTTCCTTGAAATCATATGCCTCCTTACTTGGTACCATGTTGCAAACAGCTGGAGTCTATCACTCGTTGTGGTATTATTCCCACTTGTTGAATGTCCTAAAACCGAACACTCTAAAAGCAATAAAGAAGGAAAGAGTAAACATGTTCTAAATGATTCCATTTCCATGCTTTATGACTTTCTCATGATCATTTTAGTCATCTACCTGAAGATTTATTTTGAAGGCTAAGTGGTGATTACACAGATGAATCACCCATTTGAAATGCCTTACTTTAAAACACAAGAATGAGAGAGAGTGAAAACCTGGAGGCTTCCAACTCCACATCCACCATTTGAGTAAATTACCTGACCGCGGTTATAGGTCTGTTCCTTCATTGACACAACAGAGTCGGCAAGGAGCGAGGTTGCTATCTGGCATATGTGAGTTCTCAAAAATCACAGGGGAGACATGATTTTGTTGTTACTTTTAAAAATTGTATAAAAATTTCATGCTATCTCAACTGAGAGGCATGTGACCCTTTTATTCCCCAGTGAAACTTGTTATGGTTAATAATACTTAATTCACAAGGTTGTCATGACAGATATAGATAAATCACCTAGCAGTAGAGTTAATGGTCAATAAATGTTCATTCTTTCCCCCTTGTGTTTTGTCTTTCTTCCCATTCTGTTTTAATATTTATTTATTTAGTTTATTATTTATTTATTTATTTTGGCTGCACCTGGTCTTAGTTTCAGTGTGCAAGATCTTTAGTTGTGGCATGCCTGCAGGATGGGAACACGGAGTCTTACCCACTGGACCACCAGGGAAGTCCCTCTTTCTTCCCGTTCTTAAAAGGGAGAAAAGTCAGCAGTGATCCTAAACATGAATATTTGTGGAATGGACTTAAAAACAGAATAAGAGGAAAGTCTCAGACTTTTTAATGATAAACATAAAATGATAGCAAGACATATAATGCCTTTCTAATGCCTTTTGCACAGGGAAAATATCATACGATTTCCCTCATTTTGAAAACACAGACAAAGAAGCATCAAAATGTTAATACCTTCCCTAAGATCAGATACAAAAAGAGTTGTCAAAATCTCCAAATTGAAATTCTAAAACCAAATACATTATTTTTAAGATATTATTTGGTGTATTGTATCTGTGTCAGCAACCAGTAGTTGAAATCACTAGTTAATTTTAGGTTGTGTTTTTCTTCTGTGCTTTTTTTTTCTTTTTTTTTTTTTTTTTTTTCTGTGTCATGCAGCCTTTGAGATCCTAGTTCCCCAACCAGGGATCGAACCCAGTCCCCAGAAGTGAAATCGCTGAGTCCTAACCACTGGACCACCAGGGAATTCCCTCTTCTGTGCATTTTTAAATGGATATCTCATTACAGGTTTAGATGAGGAAGGCAACAGGGCCTAAGGAGACCCAGAGTGGAGAGAAAGAATGAGGCTGTAAGCAAGCAAGTACAGGTGCAACTTCCATGGCTGTCATTGTGGAGAAGCTGTTTTGTTTCAGTAGTTGATATCATTCTCCTCTGCCTCCTACTGAACTTCCTGTGTTTCTGTAGCTGAGTCTGTGAAACTTTATTCTCTGCTACTTTAGAGCCAGGCCCCACTTGCATAGTTGCCTGGGGTCTCTCCCAAGACTGCACTCTTCAAGACTGGTTCTCTTCCTAGTCTCCCTATTGCATTTGCTGGCTTGGCCCTCTGTCAACGTACACGTGCTTCGCTGCTGCCAGGTTATTGCCCTCTGCACACAGGATGCTAACTGTGTGATCTCTGCTAGTCATAGGACACCCGTTGCTTGATAGAGTATAAAACTCATCAATGCCCTGTGACAGTGTTAGAACATCCCCCAGAATGCTATAAGTGGGTGACATACAGTGTTTGCATATGAAGATCTCTAAATATGTTCCAGGACGTGGCCTCATTCTCAGACCATGGCCACCTGAGGGATGAGAATTTTGCTCCTGTCTCCAGGCTGAAGGTTTTCCAGAGAGTCACTTTGATCTAGTGTCAGAGGGTCCCCGATGGGATACCTTTAATGTACCCCTATAGCTTGGATCCTGCTGCAGTTCAGTATCCTCGAGATGTCCCTAATCATAGTTTTCTTGAGATAGACATCCTTGGAGGTTCTAAGACCAAGCCATGCTTCCAGATGTTCATGGATCACAAAGAACACCGGACCAGGCCATTGCCTTTCGATGCTTCCAAATAGCAGAGCAGGACGAACTGTACACAACGATCCATGTGAACATTTAGCCTTATTTGCAGTAAGGACCCAGACAGGCGATTAGCGTGCTGCTACTTGGCAAAGTGCACTTCAATTTCAAGCTGATGTGTTTAGTTTCCAAGGCTGAAATTGTTGTCAGCAATTTTTATTTTAAGTAGAAGTTGCAGTAACTGGTCTTTTAGAATACGTCATATTTACAAAGGTGCATTTTATAAGAACATCCTAAAGTGCTGTATGAATATCATTTCATTTATCTTTATGACGCCTCTGTGAGGGAGAGTAGCCCATATCATCCTTCCCATCATCACCAGGATTAGTGTTCAAACGAAAGCACACAAAGGCTTTCTAGAGAGCAGCACAGAGCTCACAGTGGACCCAAGAGTAGGCCGGTTAGGGTTGTATATGAATATTCAGCCTCCGGCAAAAGGCTTGGGGCATAATTCTATCAACCCAAGAAAATAACACTTTCTTAAGTGTCCTTAAGGGCAGAAGAAAGGGGTCTCACTACAAAATGTGCCCGTTGTGTTGAAGACACTTTCTTTTTGATTTCTTGTTTCTCTGGTTCTCCAGTTACCAGTTATTATTATACTATAGAAGAAGAATGGCAGGGAGGCACGGAGCCAACTGGACCGTGAGCCTGTGAAACTGTTGCAGGAAAGAAAGTGGGGTGCGAGAGGACGACCATGTCCCAGGTCTCAGGCAAGTCCCTGGACGGCTGCCAGGTGTGGGTTCTTGGCTTTGTGCAGGAAAGAATTCAAGAGTGGGCCATAGTAAAGTGAAAGAAGGTTTATTCAGGGAAATACACACTACATAGACAGAGTGTGGGCCATCTCAGAAGGCGAGAGGCCCCGGGATACAGGATTGTCAGTTTTTATAGCAGTGGGTAATTTCATAGGTTAATGAGTGGGATGATTTTTCCAACAATTTGGGGGAAGGGGCAGAGATTTCCAGGAATTGGGCCACTGCCCTCTTTTTGGCCTTTTATGGTGGGCCTTGGAACTGTCATGGCGCTGGTGGGTGTGTCATTTAGATGCTAATGTATTACAACAAGCACATAAGGAGGCTCAAGGTCTGGTGCAAGTCAACTCATCCACTGTCTTGGACCTAGTTGGTTCTAAACAGTTTATATTGTGTCCTCAACTGCTGTGTCATTCTTTTAAAGGTTGTGCCCTGCCACCTTCCTGTCTTAAAATGTTGGTCCTGTTATTTGAAATACTCACCTGTCTCTAGATCAGAGACCAACATTTTTATTCGGCATCACTTACAAGTAATTAGGATAGTCCATTAAACATATCCTAAGAACCTTTTATTTCCAAGGATTAAATGAGTCTGATTTGACTGTTTAGTAGAGGTCTTGATAACTGTACAGAGTATTGACAAAAAAAAGTTGGGAAAGGTGAAGGTAGTAGAAATTTATCTCTTTCTTTTACTCAGAAGTAAGGAAAAGAGTATTTATTGAGTATCTACATTGTACCAGTAGCTCTTTTAGATGAGCTCATTTATGCACGGAATTTTCAGTTATAATTACCATGCTACCTGCCAAGAAACCACGGCTCAGAAAAAATAGATGACTTACTCAAGGCCACACAGCTAGTGAAAATAAACTACAGAGTCTGGATTCAACCCAGACCTTTCTAATTCTTTTTTTTATAATATAAATTTATTTTTATTTATATTATTTAGTTTTGGCTGCATTGGGTCTTTGTTGCTGCTCACGGGTTTTCTCTAGTTGTGGCGAGCAGGGGCTACTCTTCATTGCAGTG